TCGGATGAGAGACGAAACGTTTCTACATTTTTTGTTGATTTGCTTTGATTTGTTTTTTTGAATGTCCAGAGGACCAGATTTAACTTTTTTAGATGATCCAGAGTGTTCTCCCCTCTAGTAGAACACTTAACATGTTGGTAGAATTTTGGGAGTACAGTCTTCAGATTAGCCCTATTGAAATCTCCTACAATTATATGAACACCATCGGGCTGAGCCTGCTGCTGTTCATTTATGGTGTTCAGCAGGAGAGAGAGTGCCATATTTACATTAGCGTCGGGTGGTATATACACAGCAGTAATTATCACAACTGTTATCTCTCTCGGTAGAAAAAAAGGTTGGCATCTCACGGACATGTAATCAAGGTCTGGGGAACAGTGATTGTCTATAATTGTCCCGTTGTTACATCAGTTCTCATGCACATAAATACAGAGCCCCCCACCTCTGCTCTTACCGGAGTCCACAGTCCTGTCCCAGCATAGCAGAGAGCGGCCTGCTAGCTGTATGCTAGCATCGGGTATCCCGGGGTGAAGCCAGGTTTCGGTGATAATCAGAACACAGCAGTCACAAACATAGCGATTTCCAGCGAGTTGTAATTCCAAATAATCCGTTTTATGCACCAGGGATCTGGCATTGGAGAGATAAAGGCTCGGTAGAGGTGGCTTGTGAGGTTGTGATCTTAGCCTTAGCATAATGCCAGACCTGCAGCCTCGCTTCTGCTTCCTCTCCCTTCTCCGTCTGCACCGCCTCCCAGGCCCGACAACAATCCACGGAGAGCCCGGTGATCTCGCTATGTCGTCTGGGATGTTGTGCGTGTAATGAAAGTCACTCGAAACAGGTATTTGCTGCTGCTCACCAATGTGCAAAAGGGTCTGACGTCCGTAGTTGATGTTTGCAAACTTGGCAATGCAAACACAAGAAAAAAGGACGTACAAAAATAACATTAAAAAGCACTGAAAGGGATAGCTGAGCCGCTGCAACCATGCGCGCCGCCATCTTGGAATTTTTTTTTTTTTTTTTTGCTGCACATACCAACAATTTTCAGTCAGGTCCTGACTGAAAATTGTTGGACTGTATACATGGATTATTGAACATGGACTTTGTTGGTTATACTGCACATAACTAACATAAACTACACAGGTTGTGTGACAGATTATTGCACAGGTAGTGAGTAACATTGAGATGAATTATGATGGTAAGGTAGATGCATACATGATACAGCCACATAATGCATTAGCAATAAAAATATTAGGTATCACAAGCTAATATTAGTCATATTAGTTGTCACTGATGTGGCTTGGTGCAAAGTTATTGCCAGTTGTTCAGTGTTATTTATTGAGAGTTCAGTAATCTGACAGTTTATGGATAATAACTGTCTGAGTCGTTGAGTCTTTTTGTACGTGATGGCAGACTCCTGTATCGACTACCTGAGAGTATTAGATGGAAGAGTCCTTGTGCTAGGTGGGTGTGGTCCTTAATGATGCTGCCTAGCAAGACATTTCAATATAAACACTGCCACATTTCAAAAAGGTTCAAGACAAAAAGACTGCCATATTTCGATAAACTGACCATTTGTTTGTTTGTTGCTGGACAGCTATGTTTTTGATGATAAAAACAACTTCAAACTCTAAAATTTGGGTCAGATGTTTAGATAAAGAAACATTACATTTCAGTGTTTGTCTACCAAAGTTAAGTCAGCTCCTCTGGACAGTTTCTGGAAGGGGAGAGAGTGGACTCCAGAAACCAGAGCACCATCAAACTGGTTGATCCACTATGTGTAGGTGCTATATACAAGACAGTTTGTTGTGACTCCTCTGACTGATGAAGTCTTTTGGGTGAAAGAAGAAACATTTCAACAAAAAGAAACTGTCCAGAGGATCTGACTTACCTTTTGTTAGATTTTTCTACCTGGATTACCGAGCATGAATTAAGCTATAGCAGTGTTTGGTTTCATTTTTAACCTTATGCACAAAACAAACATGATGCATGTGCTTTTACTTATTTTTACTTATGTATGCATTAATTGTCCATTTTGGGGAAGCCAAGTTTGTGCAGTGTGTCAATGCCCACATTAAATAGGATTTCAGCAGTGTTGTGGCAGAATGGTGGGCACCTCTACATATGTAAACACAGCCAGCAACTTGTCAACTTGACAAGTTTGTCAACTTGACTTGTTTTTTCATTTAAATAAAGGGTAAATGAAAAAAAAAGTAAACTCTTCAGCCAACCTGACTTTGATCAGGGCTAGGGCCCCAAACAGTCTGCAGACTCCATCAGCAGCAAGACAGTTTAGCACGCCTGCTAAAGCAGGCGTTTAGCACGTCCTACTGTTCTGTGATATTCTCATGTGCTGTGTGCCAATAAGCTGCTTGGTTTCAATCTTGCTTCATAAGCACCCTGGATGCTGTCAGAGTCAGGGCTCATAATCTGTGGAGAGAGCTGCGCGAAGCTTTGAAACCCTGTGGAGCTAATGGACGAACTGCCATTTCAAACCAGTGAAGAGTTTTATTTAAAAAAGCAGCAACAGACAAGATGGATGACTCAAGTACATTGGATATTCCAAGATATTATTGAATGGTAAATGGCACCTTTCTATCTTATCAAGATACTCAAAGCACTTTACAACAATTTGTGCCCTCATTTACCCATTCATACAGCACTCTACTATGTTCGTACAAAGAATAATCAGAGCTTTATCACATTCATACACCGATGGGACACATCGGAGGCAATGAGGGGTTCAGTACCTTGACCAGGAACACTTCAGCATGTGATTGCTGGTGGAATCGAACCCCCAACTTTTGCATTGGAGGATGACTGCTCTAACCACAGCTGCCCCCAAGTATGGAAGTTAGCGGCATGTTTCAAGGATGTGTGCCTTTTACCAGAAAATAAAGAAAATGTTTTTAACAAAACAGCACCAGGATAATTTAGTAATACCATCCATCCATGCATTATCTTTTACCCGCTTCTTCCATTTTGGGTCACGGGGGTTGCCGGTGCCCATGTCCAGCAATCACTGTGCGAGGAGCGGGGTACACCCTGGACAGGTCGCATGTCCATCACAGGGCCACATAGAGACAAACGAGACAAACAACCATTCACTCTCTCACTCACACCTAGGGACAATTTAGAGTTACCAATCAGCCTAACATGCATGTTTTTGGTCTGTGGGAGGAAACCGGAGTACCCGGCGAAAACCCACACATGCACGGAGAGAACATGCAAACTCCACCCAGAAAGGCCCCATGACCAGGATTTGAACCAGGGACCTGCTTGCTAAGAGGCAGCAGCTCTACCAGTTGCGCCACCGTGCTGCCCATTTAGTAATACCGGTATTCACAATTTATTTTTAGCTCTTCAATTAAAATTTTCATATAGTTACAACTAAACATTTGTTCAAACTCGTCTTTAAACTGGCTGCAGACATGTAATCACAGTGAGAGCCACTCACCTTCTTGTGGCTCTTGAGGACTGAAGGAGTGACGAAAGCCTTCTCACACAGGTTGCACTTGTATTTCTTGTGGCCGTCGTGCACCACCTGAATATGGACATTGAGTGTGTCCTTCCTCTTAAATGTGGCATCACACTGGTCACACTTGAAAGTCCTCTCACCTGTGGCAGGGGCAGAGGGTCATTTGGAGGGAGCTGTTTTCTGTTAACTATTGTTGAGTTTCTAGAAACAGTCATCACACACAGCAAGAAGAGACCCAAATTCACCAGAGTGATTGTGTGGGCAGAAAATACAAAGGGGTTTTATTACACCAGCCAGCTCCATACAATAGTCATTTTTCTTCTTTTCTTCTTTTTATTATATTCTATTTGTACATTGCCTATTTTAATAATCATTCAACTGAAGAGTCCGGCCGCTTTACCAGGACACGTCAGCTGTTTGCAGAGTAAAACCCAATGTTTCCTTCCCACCTCCACTCTCTGCCTCCACACAATGGTTACTTTTGTTGTAGAGTCCATGTTTCCATTATATCGTATGATCGTTCAATTTTCATTGTTCAGACGGAGACAGCAAGTGGTTACAAGCCTGTGCTTCACACTCAGATTACCACGCCTGATGATGGTCAGCTCAATAAGATGGAACAACGGAGAAAGCTGAGGTTTGCTGTGTTTGCAATCAGCTCAAGACATTCAATGGAAAATAATTAATGTCAATGATGCCCCACGGACAGATTCCATTAATACAAAGAGCTGAATTGCAGATATTAGACCCCATAAACAGGCAGAGTTGCTCTAATCTACACATACAACACACACACATAACCACACAGGGCTATTCAACTCATTTCTGTACCCGCTTAATCTTTTTCTAGGTCATAAAGGCGGCTCAGCAGTCACTGGGCGAGAGGTGGTATAAACTTAATTTTATTTTATTTAACCTTTATTTATGCAGGTAGTCCCATTGAGACATGAGGACCCATTTTCAAGAGAGACATGTTTGGAAGCAGATGGTGGTGGTTAAGGGTCTTACTTAAAGGCTCAGAGTGGGGCAAATGAGGGTGGAGGCAGGTGTGGATGTTTCACCTTTTCCACACACATTTTGGTGTTGTTGGACAGGGGAGTCGAACCGGCGACCTTCCGATCACAGACCCACCTTCTCTAGCCTTTGCGCCACCACTCCCCCAAAGGACCAAGACAATGACACAACAATCCCCCCCCCCCCACACACACACACACCTAAAGTGAATTTAGAATTACCAGTTAATCTAACATGCATGTTTTTGAAATGTGGAAGGAAACCAAAGTACCCAGACAAAACCCACACATACTGGAAGAACATACAGACTTCATACATAAAAGACCCAGCAGAGATTTGAATCGGTGTACTTTTTGCTATGAGGCAACATTCCTAACCAGCTGTGCCAACATGCAACCAGGGTTATTCTGAAGGTCTCTAAATACCAGTAGTTTAAAGACTAGTCCAGAAATGAGGCAGCATGGCCAATACTCCTTCAAATTCTCCACAACAAAGTCACATTGTTAAACCCATCATGGACACACTGTCACTGCTTCCACCGAGGACTCCAATCTCTGCGACTAAGAAAAACCTTGATGATGTCCCTACGGAAGATTTATAAATGCTCAAAACTTGCATGGACCTATCACACTCTACACTAGGGAGCCTACAGTGTAGTTAATATGTGTCTGAAGACCTCACTAAGACCCTGCAAAGATAATTCATAATCTAGTTGATTTTTACACCTTAGCAGGATCATCTCTGAGTGTGACATGAGCCTTAATTTACTGCAGTGTCTTTAACTTCTCAGAATTAAAAGAGTTAGACTTGGAACTAAAACACAAACATAAATTATACAAGCAAATGATATCTGAAAGGTTAAAACACTTGATTGCTGACTGTTAATGATGATTGATGGTTTCGGATGTGTGTGCTCTGTTTGCATGTGTTAAAAAGCCTGCTTCTGAGATTCCAACAGGAGATTGGCTTGAAACACAGCAGTGAAGGCAGATGGGACAGATCTGGTTGGCAGGCCACAGACTGACAAAGTCCTCTGGACGGGGGATGAAACATTTGAATTTGGATCCATGTACACAAAATTCAGTAATACAAACTAAAATCATAATCTTCAGAGCAATTTTAGCTTTCTTTGAACTTTCATCATATTTTTATTCCTTTGACACATAGCTGAAAAACATGTACTGTTGATGTAATGTAATGTATTGTGGATTATCAGTCAAATTTACAATTATATCTTGATTTAAGAAAGTTACATCTAAAATAATTCTTGAAAAATACTTGTGGGTTCTGGTCTCGACCGAGATGGCTGCATAGAGAAAGCGCTCCTCCTGAAAAAGTTTAAAACCTCTCCTGCAGAATATTATAGCTACTCACAGACCTCATACCAAGACAGAAAAAGCAGGATAAGATGGAAACACGAGAGAAAAGCAAAAAAATACATTCCAGACACGTTTGGCGATGATGACAAACCATGGCACAAAGATAGCCATGCTAACACAAAAGATGAATCCGGAAAACAAAAAGGTAGCGAAAAACCCAAAGTTAATCTTGAAATGATCCTCCGAGAAATACAAGAATTCAGACACGAAAATAAGCAACATCTAGACATTATAAGAGAAGATATTAAGAAGGCGAATCAAAGAATTGATGACACCGAAGACCGTGTCAGGGCAGTGGAAGGTTAACTAGACACGATTGAGCATGTGATGAGAAATATGCTTAAAACCCAGATTCAAAATGAAGACATGTTGATCGATTAAGAAGCAAGGGCAAGAAGGAAGAATATATGGATTTTCAACGTACCAGAGGACGAAAAACAGGGTCATCTGATAAATGAATACGTTGAAAAACTACTGCGAGAGAAACTGGATTTTCCTGACTCCTTTGAACTCAACATTGAAAGGGTCCACAGAGCTCTAGCACCGAAACCTACGGGAGCAGCAAAACCCAGATCGATTGTGGCCCAGTTCCTGCTGTATCGAACAAAGGAGGAAATACTGAGAAAGGCATGGGAGAAGAAAGAAATCTACATAAACAATCAGAGGATATATTTCGACCACGACTACCCTACCGCAATTTTAAATTGCTGCAAAGAATACAACGAAGCAAAACAGGTGCATAGGGGAAAGAAGATCTGTTTTCAGACGCCACACCCAGCCAAGCTACACATCTTCTATAAGGATGAAAAACGTCTATTCAAAACAGCACATGAGGCAACAAGGAATATGCATGACTGAGGCTTTGCAGTCCGGGTGATTCCACCTCGCCAGGACCTGATGAAAGTCTTAGATGTGGAATCATGGCGTGTTGCAGGGAGAAAAGGGTCCGCTCAGCTGGAACAGCCAACATGACAAGCTGCTGCCGTGTCCAAATTGCAGACCTTCAGAAGACAGCCCTCAGAATGAAGAACAGTGGAAACACCACTGAGCTAATATCCTCTCTGTTTCTCCATAATCCAGCAGTAATTAGGAGGACCAGGAACATTGAAAGGTACAGACATTTACTCTAATTTGCCACAGAGGCCCTTTTCATGTTGCCATTCGTAAAGGACTCCCCTCCAAGTGTTGACCCGAATCCAGGTCTGGTAAAGGACTATACACCTTTACATTTGTTGAAATCAGGTCTCTCTTGTAAATGAGTCATCGAGGCTCAATGGGATTTACCTGTCTAAATAAAGGTTGAATGAATGAACATTGGAACCCCATGACTTATTTTAAAATGGATTTTGCATTAGTTCTCAGTTTTTGTATTATGATAAGTTTGTCCAGAGAGTTGTGTAGCAAAAATATAAATGTAACTACAAAGTACTTTCATTATACAAGCAAATGATAGCTGAAAGGGGCCGAGATGGTGTAGAGGCAGGGCAGCCGGCTTGGGACCCGAAAGTCCCAGGTTCGATCCCCAGTCACTGCACATCACGTGGCGTCTCTGGGCAGCACGCCTCATCCCCAAAATGCCCCCCGGGCGCTTTCAATAGCTGCCCACTGCACCACCTGGTGGTGGATAGGTTAAATGCAGAGACTAATTTCGCCATTGTATGGAAACATACAGTGCTGACATTGTGATGACATTATTATTATTATTATTATTAAAAGTGACATCTTTCAATGTTAATGGTATATTAAATCCAATCAAACGAACAAAGATATTGACTAAAATGAAAAGGGAAAAGGGAAACATAATTTATTTACAAGAAACTCATATAAATGATAGCGAGCATCAAAAATTAACCAAATATGGATACACTAAATCATATTACTTGTCCTACAAAGGAAAACATAAAACAAAATTTTGAACTCAAAGATGAAGAGGGCCGATATATACTAATCAAAGGAAATATTAACGGAGACACATACACATTCCTCAAAGTTTATGCCCCACGGGGAAGTGATGTTTCATTTTTTACCAATATAATTGATTTGATTGTAAACAATGCAGAGGGAACACTTATCTGTGGGGGAGATTTCAATATTTATCTTCAGCCACCCCTAGATATCTCTAGTCAAAAAGCTAGCAACAAAGCAATTAATAAAAAAAATCAACAATCTAATGCAAAATATAGGACCAATAGACATTTGGAGGGAAATGTATCCAAAAACTAGGCAATACACAAACTTCTCTAATCCTCATTTGGTATATAAAAGGCTAGATTATTTCTTTATTTTTAATAATGTAGTGGTGTCAAGGTCAGCTTTCTGACCCTCCACTACTAATTATTTAAATATAACGGGTTCTCTCTTTTTCGAGTTAAATTTCTGCCATGTGACGAGGTACTGTGAGGATTGTGTTTAAATCAGTGACATGAGATGTTATTTTCCTTTGACCCATCAGAATAAATGCGGTCATTTATTTAACAGAATCAAAATTTAAATTAAATTTAGATTACTGGCAAAATAGAAGAGTTTTAAAGGAAGGAATGAAGAGAAAAGATGGGAAAAGGGGGTGTCTGTTCGGACCAGGATGGCCCGCTCCCTCCAACACCAGCTCAAACCTCCGGTACACTTAGCGCGTCACGACTCGTTACCTTTGCAGAAGATAAATCAGCTACGGTGTCGGGTCCATTTCAACGCTACCTTCCAGCGTCTCCGGTATGAGTGGCTGGCCATCGTCAGAAGTCGTTTCGTTT